GGTCCTAGTTTAAAAAGACAACGGTTCCACATAGTCATCAAGATATTCCAATATAATACCAAAGTATTATTCTGCTAGTACTGCTGTCCTTTGGGGAGAGGCTTTGCAGCATCTGCTGCAGGACAGCTTTCCCCCTGCTGCCATCAGACTGTTGAACTACTATAGTGGACTCTACATCACATTTTTTGCACCACCAATGGGCTGAACTTTTATAATTCTTTTAAATAGGACACTACTCAATATATCTTCTGTATTTTGCACCATATTTATTTTGCAATGCACTGTACGTTTCATATTAATGCCCTTTTGAACCATTATTTAAACAGGTTTCTTTTTTTCCCCCTACATCATGTACAATCTGATCACTGCTGCACTTTATATTGGTAATGTTTATCTACTCCAACTGCAATATCATAACAACTGTTGTAAGCTGTATGCAACGAAATTTCGTTTTGTATACACGCATACAAAAGTCTTAAGTATACAAAAGTAATTGTTTAAAAAGCATTTTTTTTTTTTTTTTTGTAATACCGGTAAGTTCTGTTTTACTGCATAGAATAATGTTGCTGCAACAGCCCTTTGGCTTCTTGGTATTTTTATCCCCTTTTTAAAAATTGGTGCACTCATAAAATGAAACTTTAGTACAGTGGTGCCCAAGTCCACCACTAGAGAGATACTATACAGCTATTTTCCAGATCATGTTACTACAAAGAACCTTGTTCTCTGCTGGTTATACAGCTTTTCTTTGTCACCTAATGATGCCAATAAGTGTGGAGACTCTGTAATTTGTTGGGTGATGATACATTAACAATTTAAATCAAGATAATTAAATTTATAGGTTATTTTCAGCTTTTGAACTGATTTATTAAAGCTTGAGAAAAAATTTTTTTTTAGCTAAAAATGCTAGACGACGAACAACACTGCTGTTACTGGATATTTAGAAACTGTACAGAAGCTGCATGAACTAGCCAAACAAATTAAATGTACAGCTCTGGCTTATGTATGGACATGGCCTCATGTTGCTTACTGGTACAAATTAGGGGCCCAATCCATCTCTGTAATACATTGCACACATGCTGGTTTATAATTTCCTACTCTTACCGTATATTATATTTAAGGTCAGTTTCTACTATCCTTCAAGGTAAAATGACTGAAAACGGCCCTTATTAAAGGTGCACCATGGTAGAAACTTTTCCCATGCAGTTTTTTTTTCAAATATATTTAATAATCTTTAAGATGTAAAATGAATTGCATGTGTGCCTTTGGATAAATGTTGCCAGAAACTAACCAAAGTCAAATTCTTCCTCTGCTTTCTTTTCCTGTTTTTCTTTCTCTCAGCCTTCTCGTCTTTCCCTGCTCAGTGCCTCTCTCTTTTGCTGCAGCAGCATTTAGGGCATCTGCCGGCACACACTGGCAGCTATGTAGCTAGAGAGGAACTGGTGGCACACCACCCTTCATGCATTATTATTAGTTCCTCTATAAGATTTAGGCAGAGGGAAGGTGGAATGTGCGGAGAGCTGCGGGGAAACGTGCTAAGGGCCAAAAACTGGAGCCAGGGAATCTGGTTCCAAAAACAAAGTGGTGCAATGTTTTTTTTTTTCTTTGCTCAGCTTTTCTTTCCCCCACTTTCTCTCTCTCTGCTTTTTTTTATTCGTCCGAATTTTTTTTAGAATAAATCACCATCATAGAGCCTAAATACATATAAATAAAGATCGTCCTTTTCTTTGTAAAGCATCTAATTGGTGTTTAGAATTATTTGAAAGGAAATCCTTTTTGCATCACTGTGTTGTCTGTTTTTTTAAACATAAAAAGTATATAGATTGCTAATTTTTGTACTTTATAACAAACTAAATTCTCATCTTTGTTGTTTTTTCCCCATATTTTTTTAATCCATGGACTATAAATCTTTTCCGAGGCTGAAGAGGTGGTCTGGGGTTACCTAAAGGTCAGCTGTGCTGCAGAGGACTGAAAAATGGCCCAGTGAGAAAAAGGAAAAAGTTACTGGGATGATAGACTGAGAGGTTCAGAACAAAATAAAAAAGCTGCTTATTAATAGCGATGGTGTGAGTTGATATATTCTTTAGGTAAGAAATGAAGAGGGGGTGTGCAATGCGTAATGTTAAAACAACATATATAATTAATTTTATGGGGATTTTTTGTGAGGTTTTCAGTGAACAAAAAGGTTCCCTTGAGTGGTATGGTGTCAGCTTAATGTGATATGTGTTGCAAAGTTTGAAATTACATCCCAGATGTTTCTAAAAAATAGACAAAAACTCCAACATTTTGAACCATGAAGAGACGAAAATATGCTATAGAGTGCAGGCAAACTGTTGGTCAGAAGCAACATGCAGCGTTTTAGCAGTTTAGCTGATATGGTCTTGTTGTTCAGGAACAATAAGAAAAACCTAAGACGTAGGTTTTGCAAAATATCACTGTTTCAAAACTGTATTTTTTCCCATACAGATTTTTTTTTTCCTTTATGAGGATTTTTGTCACCCCTAAATGTTTTAGATCACAAATATCAGTCAAAAAGAGCTTAAGTTATATTTTCGTAGCAGAAATGATCAGATTTTAGTCCTGACTTTACCCAGGACTTTTAAAAACTGTTAGTTTTGCTGTCTAAGCTAATGAGTGAAGGACCTGCAGGGATATGTTGCTTGGTTTTCCTGCTGCAAGACACAGCTAGACTGAAGCAAACATCATTAACTGGTAGCTGTACTTTCTCCTTCAGGGTCTTCTGCTGGAGAGCAGTCTATGGTTCCATCAATTATGACAAGATTTTTTTGAGTTTGTGTGGACAAGTTGTCAGTGTCTTTGTAACTCTTTCTACACTGATAGATACCTTGTTCTATATTTATAAATATCTTTAAATCTGGACATGTGATTCTTTAAACTTTTAGCCTACTTTGTGTTGATAAAAAGGTTCAAAGCAAGGGATTTCTTGATTTCCCAGGTGAGGAAATAATCTGGCCTGATATATGTTACAAAAAACCTGAACAAAAAATAAATCTTATAAAGTTATATAACATATACCTTATTGGATTCTGGTAGCTTCTGGGCCACATACGCTCCCAGAAAACAAGGACTTCTATGGCTAAAAGTCCAGTTTAAAAACACCCTAGGTCACATACAAGCCTTTTTGATTTTTGATAACTAGTGACAGCAGGTTGCCATCCTTGTTGCAGAAGGGTCGTAGTGTCAGGGTTGATGAGTAACCTTTACAAGCATCAGAAGAAACAATTTAATTATTTAGTGGGTTGGTTTTATGTCCTGGTAATTCACCAAATTACGTTAAGCCAAATCTACCAGCATGAGGGGGAGTGCTGCTGTTTTATGTGTTTGTGTTGCTGGCGTAGATCATCACACAACAGCTCCTAGCTGTGGAAAGGCATTTATTTATGTTTTTGGACCAGTATGTGTGTACATCCTGCATCCATTTCTTACCAGCTCCTCTGACCATTAAAAAACATGGGTGGTCATCCTGTTTATTATGAGCATTTGCAACAATGTTCACTTACCCACAATGGTTACCTTCACATACCACCTTAGACTGAGTGTTTTTAATTATATTCTCTTACTTCCATTTTGCCTCCAGCTTAGGCATAAGTCCAGGCCCCCTGTGTTTACAGTTCTTGTTTATATATTTGCTTTGCAAAATTGTGCCCTGTCAGAGAGAGGTAGAGCAATTGATATGAAAATTCGATACCTTCGATGTTATGTTTTAGCACAGAGGTGTGGTAGAAGATGTGTAATTGTTGTATAAGTACATATTATTGGTGAAGTATATCACCTCTCCAAAAAATGTCCAACTTTTTTACATTTAGTCTCATCAGTATCATAGATCTGATTTGAAAACATAGGGGAGGGGAGTGGCGGCCTAGTGGTTAGGGCATAGAGCTTGGAATCCTGAGGTTCTGAGTTGGAGCCCCACTCCTACAGACTGCAGTCCCTGAGCAAGACCTTTAACCCCATACTGCTCCCTGGACGCCCCACGATGGCAGCCACTGCTCCCCAAGGGGATGGGTTAAATGCAGAGGTAAATTTCCCCAATGTGAGATCAATAAAGTTAATTTATTGTTATTATTATTAAATAGTTGTGCATAATTGTAAAGAAGGTCCTCTTGTTTAGGTTCAAACTTTGTTTACTGTATTGCATATAGGCAGTCTTCTATATTTGTGTTACTCTCATGTTAAATCCCCAAATGTACAATTTTGTTACTGTAATGAGGCAAAGGTGGGAAGAAACCCTCAAGGTATACATTTTTTTGCAGTGAGCTCATTGCCATTCCTGCTTCCCTGTATTTAACATTAACGTGGCATCTCAGTAGAATTAATGAATTTTGTAACTTCTGTCTCGTATTCTGTTCTCTAAGGCCAAAATAGTTTCTGCTTCAGTTGTTGTTCAGCTTTTTTTCCTGTCCTCTTAGTTACCCTAGTTCAAGAAAATAAAGCTATTTAGAGTGATGGCAGGCACAGTGATAGGTTGTTTTCTTGCATTCACTTTGAGTGATTGTTGAGGCAAGTTAAGGCACATCCAGAGTATTTGGAGTTGGCTGGCTGCTCAAGTTGAGAATGAGCTCAACTTTTTCGCCAGGGTGAAATGTTGCAGTAGAAATGCCATGTTCAGAGGTAGATTTATTAGTTTAAGTAATCAGCTTTAGACATCAATTTATAGAAATTTCACTCAGCTTTTATCGTCAGTTTTCAAAACCTCACACATTGAAATCATGTGTTTGTTGATGTGTCTGCTACTTTATACCTGCATTTTCAGTTTTCTTCCCTTCTCTCCTCACACTCTCCCTCCTGTTATTGCTTCCTCTCGCTCTAAGTGATGGCATAAGGGAAGTTAATGACAAACACATTTCCAGCACTCCCACCTTCCCTCTCTCCTAATTAGAACCACTGTTTCAAGAGCTCTGTACAACAAGACAAAAAACAAAATTTCACTTTGTTTCCATTTTAATGTAAATATCATTTTTTTCCATTTATACAAATAAATTCACACAATACAAAAGCAATAAACAATAAAAAGTCCCCTAAATAAACAGGGAAAAATCAACACATTGAAAATAATTTGGGTTATTCTCAATGTTTTTTGTTTTATAGACAGAAATTCCAGTTGCGTCTCTTATTTTAAAGGAATTTAGATTTGTGTGGGACCTGTAAGGAAAATGATGCGCTGAAAAATAAAAATGTTAACCTTTAAGGCATTAAGGGATGAGTCTTTGGTCTGTTTGCCTGCAGATAGTGGTTTGGACTCTGGGTACACCAATGCGTGTAGGTAGGTAACTTAAGGAAGTACATGATAGAAACTTGATGTCTACAGTTTATGTTTGCACAAGACAGAACATGCAGTTGCTTTATCACAGACACTCACACAAACAATAGTGTCATTCTTTGTGTAAGATTCACAGATATGGATCTTGTCTCCATGTATGTCTTTTGATGATCCTCCAGTGGATCTCTGCAAATCTTATTTTGTTTTTCAAACAGCATGCACACCACAAGGTTGTGCATCTGAATTTTGCATAGTCTGTTTTGATGCTAGCATGCAAAACCTGTCTCTTCTGCCTAATAGTAACAATTCATGCCATAGCATCAAACCAGACTATGCACAATTCATATGCACACCACAAGGTCGTGCATCTGAATTTTGCATAGTCTGGTTTGATGCTAGCATGCAAAAACAGTGTCTCTCTCTTCTGCTTAATAGTAACAATTCATGCCATACCATCAAGGATTTTATTTTACCCAAATTAAAGACGCTACATGGAAACTTGGCTAATTTTAACATCAGACCAGGAACTTTATGTATTGTAACTATGTTAAACAAATGGCTGGGTTGTACTTAAAATGTGTTCTAAACAATAAATAAAGTCACTGGAGATCTATATTTTTATTTTTAGCAAAATACATTTCAAAAACCATTTTTAAACAGTTCATTGAACACTGAATGATAAGGGCTTCAGTCTAGCTCTCCAATACATTGTTGTAATCCTGTTTCCCTTTTCCCCTAGGAGGGAATTAATCCTGATTCATTCCAGACTCCCATCTACTTAGACTGTCTGATATTCTGGCTGTAAAACCCTATGACTGACTTTACTGGTACCAAATGAGCGTTAATCTTCAAAGATTTTAATCTGATGTTTTGTCTGTTAGTCACAAGAAGTGAGTTTGGAGGTGTGGGAGGTGTTATCAAAGGGTTTAAACATTTAACAGTAATGAAAAATATAGGTATTTTTAAAAAAACAAATACAAAACAATTGAACCAAATAAAGCAATACATGTATCAGCTATTTTCTCAGTAAAACTTCATTTGGTGAGTTAAAAGGTCATTCACAGCATACACTGATCCCTTCCAGTAAGTAGGTCATTGATGAGTTTTTCACCGTGCCTCAAAACCAACCACTGAGACCGTTCACTTGGCCTTTGGTGATAAGGTAAGGGAGCACCAGCTCATATTAGTGCACAGGCAGTGCACCTAAGGGAGTGCATGAGCTTATAAAGTGTCCCTAACCGAAATCTTTGCCAAAAACAACAGTCCCAGCATCACAGCATGTTGGATGTCATACATTGCAGCATTTAGAATATAGTGTCTCAATGTTTTAGTCTTCTTTGACAACCATAGAGAAGTAAAGTTGATAGTGAGTCCAGCTTCTCTTTTGGTGATTAGTTGCCTAATTCTGTGTCCTCGACTATCAAGCAGTAGTCACTACTGTTCATGTTCTTGGCAGGACACAGCTGAGGAAATAAAAATCCTCTCACAGATCTGATTGATCAAGAGCTTCTGTCAGAAGTAAGAAGGCTTGTGCATGGACATATTGTTATTTGACGAATGATGATCTTGTAGTAATAACACCTCATACTCCAGACTACCCGTTTGGACAACAGGTTCGGGGATCATAAGTTGTGGCTGTTTGTGAAACAACGCCCCGTTATCCAAACCTGCCTTAACTCCATCCGGCTCCAGCTGGGAAGGCTCACAGTCAAGATCCAGGTGGGTCTTGGCTCTCTTTCTTCGAAGAAAGCAAACCACTCCCACTGCTACTGCTATGAGAACCAGCAGCGCCAAAATGGCAATTGAAGGCATTAGCATTGTGGTAAACTTTGGGTTCCCGACTCTTGCCACAGGGCCAGAAGGTTCTGTATGAGCTTCAGTGCAGACACTGTCTGTATCCATGGCTGCACCTAAAGGACTGACGCATACACTGTAAGTGGAATTGGGATTCAAACCTCGGAGTCTGTACTCTGGGAAGGTCACTGGAAGGTTAAGCTGCATTGGCCTGCGGTCCGGCCCAGAGAGGTTTCTGTAGGTCAGGCGGATTCCACGGATGTGAGGCCGCAATTCAACATAGCGGTGGAGATCTAGCAGAATTGATGTTGCCGTTGCTTTAAGTGAACTGATGTCTGCCGTGTTTGCAGTAAGGGTTTCCTTTGATGGATCAGCTTCACGGGACAAAGGTGGAAAGGGATTGAGGATTTCACAAAAAAGCCCAGATGTGCCATCTGGACATATACACACTCCCTGACCATGCTGATTCCAATGACAAGTACCCCCATTTAAACAGGCATACTGGGGACAGAATTGCTCCTCTTCATCTAGATCAGTACTGCTGCTGCTGCTTGGAGATGGCAGAACAGGAGGCAGAGGAATGTTGCCACCTTTATTAGGAGGATTATCACTGGCCCTGGGGACTTGAATAGATCTAGTAGTAGTTGGTAAGGTGGTAACAGGAACAGGCAGGGTGGTAGTAGTAGTCTTGACAGTAGTAGTCGTCATTGCGGTTGTCGTTGGACAGCCAAAATCTCTGTTTTCCAGATTTTCTAAGACCTTTCCGGCATTGATGGGTGGAAAATGGCAACGTGTCTCTTCTGTTCTTTCCAGGGTGATGCTCTGAGCCTTAAGCCACCTTGGGAACCATGCTAAGTTACAAAGGCAGTTGAAGGGATTTTCTGCTATTGTAAGTTTTGTTAAGTGGGGGAAGAGCTTAGAAAACTCCTCAGGAAGTCCTTGTATACTGAGACTGCTTATGTCCAGCTCCATTAGTTCACTGAGGTTTTGCAGATCCTCAATCTTCAGAGGGCCCATTGGGTTGCCAGCTAGGTTTAGGTGAAGCAGTCCTGGTGTTTCCTTTAGGGCAGAAGGGAAAGAATCAAGCTTGTTTCCTGAAATGTCTAATTCATGAAGATTCTTTAGACGAACTATAAGCTCCTTATTTAGACTGGTGAGCCCAACACCACCCAGCCTGAGTGACTCCAGGTTCGGGGTCTGAAGCTCAGAGGGATTTAAAGAGGGTAAGACATTAAAGCGGAGGTCCAGCAGCAGCAGACTGGGTAATGAGAGAAGGGGCAAGGTTGTCAACATATTACCCTGCAATTTCAGTTCCAGGAGATGTTTCAAGCCATTGAAAGCAGAGGGGTGGATTTTTTCGATGTGATTACCATACAAATAAAGGCGCTCCAGCTGTGGCATTCCTTGGAAACATTCCTCTGAGATGTAGGTGATCTGGTTAGATGACAAATCCAGATTCTTTAAAGAGATCAGTGGCTCAAACACCCTTTCAGGAAGACTGGTCAGTTTGTTTTGACTGAGGTCCAACATTTCTAAGTTAACCAGTCCATCAAAATCCTTGGCTTTAATGTCTTCAATCCCATTTGCAAACAGATAGAGGCTTTTGGTTGAAAAGTGTACTTCACGAGGAATGGTAGATGAGCGTCTTTGGGAACATAAAATGCTCATTGGACTGTGGCACAAGCAGTCTTCTGGACAGTCGCTGGTAAAGATGCCATGAGGAAGCATGAGGAGGAGAAGAAAGGACATCAGTGGACTGAGAAAGATCTTCATGGTGCAAAACCTGTCTCGCCCAATGCTTAACCTGAAAAAAAAAAAAAAAAGAAAAAAAAAACACGGTTACCAATGTGGCTTTTAGAAAAAAGATGCCAAAAAGACACAAAGAATATTCTTAACATAACTTTGCAATTCATTAAAGCAGGTTTTTTTTGACTAGCACAGTTCATATGCAAATTCATATTAAGGGACAACTTGGAACGAAAAATACATAATAAATTGTATTGGCAGAATAAATACATTTTAAAATCCCATTAATGGAAATAAATGCTAAAATCTTTAACCTTTTACTTTTTTTTTAAGTCTGAGTGCAAATGTATCACCTTTCATTTTATTAAGTTGAAGACAATTTTTATTTTACATTAATTAATATCATGGACACATTGTCTTAGTGGCCATGTGTTGATGCAGGAATATTAAGTGGTGTGCTTTCAGCTCATATATTAAAAAAGATATTGAAGAGCTCCATTTTCAGCTACAAGAAGAAAAAAAAGACATAAAAATAAAGTAGCCAGAGAACAAACCTTGAGGGACCCTGATTAAGCACATACATTTTTTTTTTTTATATATATATAAAAAAGCCTCTTGTCTATGTTCACTGGACAAAATAAAAGGTATACATTTTAACTCACCTAAAATAAAGACATAATTTTATAAAAGGATTTTTTTTTTTTTTTAAGGAGGGTTAGGATCAGTCATGCAGTATCTGTTTGGTCATATGACACTGATTTTGATTGTGATGTCAGATTTATGGGAGTTTAACTGAATAGATAAGCAATGTCAGCATCGTGGTCAGCTTAATGGTGTCCAAAGGGTAAGGAAACATATGATAAATGACAACATAACTATTGGCCATAACAGCAAAATTAATATCTAAGATAAATATCGGCCCAGATTTTCATACCAGTGCATCTGTACACTTGGTATCTTTTTCTGAACATTAAGAGCCTGGGAAACTTAAAAAACCTATCTGAATAATAACAACGGTAATAATATAACAGAGTGGTTTTAGCTGGAGGCTTACTGAGAACTGCTGTAGGACAGACCGCTACAGATGATCCTTCCTGCCATCAGAAAGCCATAGATGGCCATAGAAACCTGCATACTATCGACATCTATTTTCACTTCAGGATTAATAAATCATTCTTAGCAGAATTTGAATTAAACAACAGACAACAATTGTGTTCACTCTGGTTTTATCTTAACTTATAAATCTACTGCTGAGTTATTCCCTTCTTTATGCCAAGCTGCATGTAGCAAAGCTTACATGAAGGATTTATTTGTAGCCTTCAAAACTCAGAGAGAAACTGATAGTCTGGAACTGCCTTCCCAAACCATAGATGTAAGATAAACTGAGTAAGATAAAAGGCACATATTTTCTGTGTTATCCAGAATGACAGCCTTTGGTATTTGCTTAACAAGTGGCTCTACTACGGTAAAAGGTATGAAATATACTGATGAGGGCTGACAGATTTTTAAAAGGAAATATGTTCCCCTGTTTGGAGCCATTTCACCTGAGCCCAAGCTTTTTAAAACAAACGCTGAAGTGGAGTGTCAGCACACTACTTCAAAGGATGATGGAAAGGAGAGGGAGAGAGGAATGAGGGGGAGATAAAGTACAAACCAGTTTCAGACCAGAGTCTATGTAGCTGTTAATCATCCAGTGCTATCAAGTGAGACAAGCATAGGGGAAGAAACATGTATGTGACAAACACCCTGATCGTTTTAATGTCCTTTTGCTCGATTGGCCCACGTTACTGTATATTTCTTACTTTATCTTTTCCCTAATAAAGACTTTGTATTCTGCTGGAGTTACATTTATTACATCTGCCAACTTAAATGCTGCATGTAGTCTGTATAAGCTTTAAACGGCACAGTTGTTGGTCTCTGCATAAATACTTAGTTTTCTGGAATCAACAATTTGACGCAGAAGCACAATCAAAACATTGTGTTTGCACACTGGTCACGAAAGGTCCAACACATTTCATTTGAAAATCTAAAGGAAATGTTGATTCATCCCTCTATTTATGTGGCCACCGTTTTCACTAACATTTCCATATGTAAATCTGTTTTACTTTGGAAACCATTACATGTAAATATTTCATGAGATACAAGTAGGATCAGCCAGTTAATAGATGCAGGATTATTCTCAATATTCTTTCTACAATTTTTTTTAAGTGAATTCATGTAATGTAGTTTGTATTTTTATCTATTTATCTAATGTAAATAAAAAAGAGCTTTTAAATAATGGATTAGAAATAAAGGTTGCAAGTAGCTCCCTGTTGCATCAATAAAACCAAAGTATTTTATTTGAATTTTATATGCTGGACCAAAACCAAATAGCAAATAGTTGTAAATGATGTAGTTATAGGTTAGACTAACTATTTATTTGTTTTGAATAAAAAATCTGAATAGTGTGTCATTTATATGTCTCCAATCCATCGATTTAGGACTTTTTGAAACCAATATTTTCTTAAGTAATAGCTGCAAGTCGTTTAGAGTATCTCTCTCTGTCAGTGTCAGATATCTCAGTACTTGGATAATCTGTGCAAAATGACCTAAGTCAGATTGGACGTACAGCCTTGGTGATCATCTTTTTTTAAGAAGTCTTTATATTTAATTTTGGTCTTAGATATGACTGGACCTTACTTGTATTTTAACATGCTTTGAATAACACTATTCCATCCAAGGTTAGACTGAAGGATAAACCTCTGTTCCAGAACTGAGTCTCTAAAATGTTTTCTTTTATAAATTCTGTTTTCAGCCTAATCGATCAACTCTAGTCAGCTTCCCTGTAACTGCAATATAAAAGTCAATCCTGCGAGAGATTTAATTTACAGGCCTTTGAGTTAAGGGACCTCAACGAGAAGTCAGTACACTTTTATTCTAAAAGATTTCTTTAAAGGATTGGACGTTTCTATCATGCTGACTGTCAACTGTCAGCTATCTGTTGCTCAGATGAACCATGTCAGTGAAATTCACGTGTTGAAACCTCGAGGCTGGATTAAACAAAGCAGCTCCTTCGTTTCAGGGTCATCTCCTGCAATCAGGAGGAAAAGCCTAGCCCGATCTGAAAACTTCCAGTACAGAAAACTCAGTTAGACTTAGATTTGTTTATGGAAAACCTCACTGAAAATGTATTGACAGCATTTAGTAGCAATAACTTCCTGCTGGCCACAAATACATAAGCAGCAAAGGGGAAGGGTTGTAGTTAACCCGTAATTCACACTAAGAGGCCTGCAGGGATTCGTGTGAAGTTCTTTAAGAGTCTGGTTGCAAAGCAAGTAGCTGGGGATGAATCCAAAGTAGCAGAATTTTATTTGCTCGTTTTTGGAACGACATATTTTTTAACCACACAAAAACCGAGTCAAAGTCTTGCATGTCGGACAGACTGAGTTTAGAAGCCTCCATGATGCCGCATGGTTCTGAAACACTGAAAGGCCAATTGAATATGTAAAAGATAAAGTGTAAAGATCTGAAACGATAACAATTACAGTGTTTAGAGTCTGAACACAAAGCAATAGCATGCAGCTTTGGAAAAGCAGGAGTATTATTAAAATAAAACTGTATATGTTCTTCTTGGAAAAATCTATTGCAGTACTTCTATAGTAACTTCTATTCGGGGGTATAGAGTGTTATTTGAGCACGTCTCACTCTAAAACTGGGCTAGGCCCATCTGATAAAACCCAGTGGAGGAGAAACTGTGGCTGAGGGATTCAGCCCCATCTCAGATAAAACGAACTTGAAAGGTTAGATTCTGCTGTTGTCTTTTCTCCTTGGCTGCAACAGGCTCGCACAGATCCCTGGCTAAGATAAACTGCAGCTGGGGCATCACTGCTACGGTGAGTGATTGCTGTGAGTGGAGGAGCAGCGAGAGATAGTAGAGAAACAAGTTGTAATCCTGGACGTTGTGGAGGAATGCCCCCCTCCTGATTTGCCGTCCTCCTCCTTGGTAATTTCCTTTTCTCTCCCCTGTGCACTTGAAACATTCCTGAGGCAGGCAGCGACGGAGTTAGAAAAAGTGATCTTGGCTCTGTCGTTGGCTTTCAAAGATTTGAAGAAAGCTTTTTGGGATTTATAAACAAAGGGTTGGATTCATAGCAGATCTTTTAAAATCTGTGCATGAATCTGACATTGTTTGGCTATAAAAGTATAAACATTTTTGGCTGATGAACACAAGAAGCAAAGAAGAGCCAGAGAATAAGCCAAAAACTCAATAGGAGGGTGCATGTAAACATATTTGTGGCACACAAAGTGACAAACATGTTCAGCACTTCAGAAAGAGAGAAGCAATATGAAGAGGCATAAGGAATAATCCCTCTCCCATAGAGCTTTTATTACCCAGAAGAGATAAGAGAAGGTTTCTGTCAGCAGGATCCCAACCTGAATAAGGTCCAACTTCAGAATGCTGAAGTGGGCTTCAGCAATTAAATCCCTGCAGCCCGTGGGGTCAAGAGTCCCTGTCTTCAGGGCTGAAGGCTAACGACAATGTGTGGACAAGTTGGACCAGTAAAGAAACGAGCGACTGATGCAGGCTGACAGTTCTGGATAAGACTGCCCACAGCAGAAGAGATACTTCCATTGAGGAGGCTTTTTATTTCAGTGACCTTATCTTCTGAGGGGAAAAAACAGCTTATGGTATGTGCATTAGCTGCATGATCTACAGCGTCCTAATCCCCTTCCACCACCAGCAACGCCTTAGCCACCAGCTGGATTCAGTTATCCACAATCAAGCCGAGGAATCCATCAACATGACAAAAGGGTCGACGAAGAACTGAAAAGGTGAAGCGAGAATATCTGAGTATGAAAGAGATCACTTAAGAAGCAACATGAGGGAAAAGAGAGAACAGACACATGCAGCATAGATATACATGAAATAATGTCATGTTACTGTAAGAGTGATGCTGCATGGGGATGTAATATTTTCTGGCATGGACTGATGTGTCTCTTATGTAGTCCTTTATTTCTAGTTGTACCTGTTAGACTGTCAGATTACTTTACCCTTCCAAAAGAAAAGATGGTCATAAT